ATGGCCAACGGCCAAAGGTCTTTTAGGAGCCAGTACAGCCACAGACAAGTTGGAGCATCCTCGAGTTTTAAAAGCATCAAAAGCAACAAGGCTAGAATACACTTAGCCTCTGGAGCTCATCCGGTGACACTGGACAGGGACCAAATGTTTCCATCAGATGCAGGGCAGCTGGGTGGGCGAGAGCAGCAGGCAGGCTCTCACGATCCCAGGAACCAAGAAGTCTCCTCGAGAGGTAGGGAGTCCACCATCCTGGGACCATCCATCGTAGAAGCCACATGCGTGTTGGATGCCAGGAACAGAAACACATGTGGGCGAACTGGCCTCAGAAGCCCTGAAACCATCTCTTAACTGTGAAATGACAGCAGAGTCTTACAGGGCAAAGGGGCCCTTAGAGAAATGCAGGGCAGCTGAGAATAGACATGACAGGTTCCTAGGGCAGGTAGGTATTCAGGGCAAGATGCTAAGGTTTCTGCCCCAGTTCTCGCCCTTGGTGAACAACAGTAGCAAAAAGATCCATCAGCTTGAACTTCAGAGCTATTAGGAACAGCTACCAAGCCCTAAGACGAGAAGCTGGTATGGCCCGACAACCTAGGCAAAGGGTCAGCCAATATGGACCGACGACCCCCCAGAAGTTGCTGGTAAAATCCAGAAATACAAGGCCTTTTTTGTCCATAGAGAGGCTCCGTCAAGGAAGACAATAGGACAGAGGTGAAAACAGGGTGACGATGGGCCCAAGAGAGGAGAAGGCATTCAGTCAGACTGAGGCCTCTGAAGTCCTTCTCCATCTTCCCCACACTGTGGGCTCATAGCGCCACAAGAAAGACACTTGGGATTTCTGACGTTCAAAAAGTGCCTTATTATGAGCAGGCTGTGTATGCCAGCACATCATTCCTTTGTCTCAAAGACAAAACACTGAAGCTCAGAGTGTCTGGTGGAAAACACAAAGCATCTTCAGAAGACCTGCTCAGCCTGCCTGTTCTGCAAAGCTGCTGCTGCCAAGGGTTCTTCTGAGACTCCAGTGCTTACGAGCGGCAAGTGCGAGACGGTCCAGGAAGGTGCACTTTCTGAGCTGGGCCAAAACTCTAATCAAGAGTCCTGGGGTCCTTCCTGACACATGCCTGGCATAACATTAAGAAGAACGCTTGTGAAATTCCCAAGGAAATGTGCAGCAGGCTGGTTGGCTTCCACCAGTTGACAGGAAGTAGGAGACAGGTAGTCAGGGAAGAATGACAGTTTGGGGATTAGTGTGACGACAATTAGCCAAGTTCTGCTCTGCTTCTCTTTACAAAGAAAACTTCCCTTCTCTTTGCTTTTGGATGCCATGTTAGGAGAGAGACATTTCCATGGCAACCGCATACACATTTAACGATGTGTCACTAAATTTGTGTGTGCACAAAGGCACATTAGGAGGGTTTTTTTTTTAATGTGGCAAGAGAAATAGATTTCCATAATTGAATGTTGCCCTCAAGTAGAGTTTACCATTTGCTGAAAGCTTGGGGCTGCAGCAGGAGATGCTAACTTGGCCTCATCAGAACCGAGGCTCGACCCAAAAATCTCAGCCAACTTCAGATGAGGGTTGTCTCTTTGGGAGGCCGCTGCCCAGAAAGGCGCATAGACAGATGGGGACATAGCAGGGGGCCAAGATGGCCTTGGCAGAGCCAGAGAAAAAAGACACATCTCTCCTTTGACCAGAGGCTGGGGAGAGAGAAAGCTACCTGCATAAGAATCAAGCATGACCCTGGTCCATCCCCAGGTTCTTAGCACCTCATGACCCCAAGACTATCATCTGTTCTAACAGAGAGAATGTAGGAAAAGATCTGCACCAATATCAGCTAGCTTCCCCAAGAAGTGGAACACAATACAAAGAATGCGGAATCTAGAGCCAGAAGTCTCAGGTGTGTGTCCTAGTTCTGTCTCTTCCTAACCACGGAACTTTGAAAGCTACTCTTTTTCTAAGCCTCAACCTGTAAACTGGGAATATACTTCCTGATTACCAGGTGCTCCGGGGAGGCAGTGAGTGTACAAGCATCACTACTAAACTGTAATACTGTTAAACTACAACACTGTTTATAAGACGGCACTGACTTGGCCCACGTATCCCAAAGAAGGCCTCGGCTAAGAGGTAGGTTGGGCTCCCAGAGCGGGTACAGGGAAGGGAAGGGGTCCACCTCAACCCTGCTGTGGGTTTATGGTGGGCTGACTTCAGGTCTCCTCAGAGCTCCTACAGCAAGGGATGCAAGGACAGCCTTGGAGCAGCTGCCCCAGCCCCACAGCCTCTGATGTTGGCCTTTCTTGTTCTCTCTCTCCAGCCCCAAACCTGCGAGGTCCCAAGCCAGCCAGTCCAGCAGGCAGAGGCCTGAGGGGTGACATCATGTATGCATTTAATTCACACATACTCAACTCTCCCTATCTGCCACCCAATCTCTTTCTTCTCCCCATTCCCCTTTCCTCACTCCAGCTAGACCTTGGCCTCTACTGCTCCAGGGAAAGAGAAGCCACCACTGAAAAGCAAACACAAGAAGCGAACTTTTGGCTTTTGAGCTTCCAAGGACCTGGATCCTAGCAATGAGAGATTTTCAAGCAGAGTTTTGACCACACGCGATTTCACCTCACATGCTTAATTTGGAACCTAACCCCAGGCATGGGGCAATCAGTTGCCTGGGCCTCAGGAGAGGCGTGTGTCGCTTCGGGATAAGATGTGGCACCTCCATACTGGAGCCCAGGGAAGTATGCCCATCCCCCATCAGCACTCCTTCCCTCTGCCCCCATCAGCCTAATCTGTGGGCAGGGCTTGGACGGCCTCCTCCTCCTGGTAACCAGTCTTCCCTGGGTGAGGCCACACTGTGCCACCATCCCAGGCTGGGGGTCTAACACCTCACCCCACGCACACACTACCTGGGTCAGCCCTCCCAAGCTCACCATGTGGCCCTTCCACTACTCAGGTCCCCGGCCCCTACACTTCCCATCACACTCCCGCCACAGTGGACAGGCTCAGCCACCCCTGAGGGCTGGGCCCTGGACTGCCCAGCTGCCTTGTGAACTCATCGGAGTTCCCCAGGCCCCTCCCTGCTCATTCCTGATGCCACTGGGCCCAGCTACCCTACACTGAGACTCATCCCAGATAACTATTTTGGTTTATGCCAGCGTGGCTGGCACACTTGGCTCCAAAAGTCACCACCACCTCTCAAACTGATGAGAATATCAGACAGTGCAGCCGTTGTGGAAGTCTGGCGGTTCCTCAATAAGTTAAACATAGAATTACCATGTGACCCAGCAATTCCACTCCTCGGTACGTACCCAAAGGACTGAAAACATATGTCTACCCCAAAAAGCATACACGAATGCTCACAGCAGCATTCCTCATAATAGCCAAAAAGTAGAAATATCCCAAATGTTCATCAACAGGGTGAATGGATTAAGAAAATGTGGTATATTCATACAATAGAATATTATTCAGGCATAAGAAGAAATGAAACTGACACATACTACAACATGGATGAACCCTGAAAAATGTCATAAGGCCACACATTGTATGATTCCATGTATGTAAAATATCCAGGTTAGAAAAATCCACAGAGACAGAAGCAGATGAGTGGTTACCAGGGGCTGAGGAGGTTGGGGATGGGGAGCGGCTGTTCAGTGGGCACAGGGTTTCCATTCGGAGTGATGAAGAGTTCTGGAGCTAGACAGTGGTGATGGTCACTTAACATCATGAATGTACTTAATGTTACTGCATTGTACACTTTTCAGAGGTTAAAATGATAAATTTCATGTTACGTGTATTTTACCCACACATTTTTTAAGTCACCATGTCACACAGCAGTCTCTGCAGCCTTAGCTCATGTGAGATTTTGAAGTCTTGGGGGCTCCAGGGCTGGAGAGGGGGTGCTGGCCCCAGGGCTGGCTCAGGACAGAAGGTCCTGGCCCAGAGGGGGGCAGCATAGCACAGTAGGCAAGTACAGAGTCAGGAAGCTGTACACTTTTCAATGTAGCTGGTGGGACTGTTCAAGGTCTTCTGCCAACATCTATAAACCCTGTGAGGACGAGCACGGACGAAGGAACAGGGACTTATTTTAGCTTTCAGCATCTCTCTGAGGAGGTTGAGCCATTCAACACAGGCTGTTGTTGAAAACAGTGACCACAGGGAAGAAAGACGCCATGCACTTTTCAGTTCTGCGATGATAAACTGGAACTGACTACAATGGCTGCATCTTACCTGTTACCCCAGAGGCCTGAGCGGACTTTCAATATTCAGACTTCAGGATGCTCAAACCACTACAGAAACAGAACGATCTGGACAGAGACAGCCAAGACTCCCTGGTTCCCACAAGACAGGGGCTACTTTGGCACCAGATCTTTCAGGGCTTCTTCTAGACATGCAGCTCAGCTGAGGAGCCTGTTTTCGATCCCAGGCTGGGGCCAGGAAACAGAGCGGTTTTTGCAGCGCTGGTCAGGGCTCAGAAATTTTGGCCAGGTGAGAATGCCACTTAGACATTCCTTAGGTGGCGGTTTCAGCAGGGACTCTGCCAAATGACCCTCCCTTCAGGGGTCGGAGGCTTGGTTTCAACAGAATACTCCCATGGGAGTGGAGGATTCCGGCCGCAAGCCGAGAAGAACGTGGTGGTGTCTATTTGGCCACGGTTTGCTGTGGTCACTGGGAAAAGACAAAATGCATCTTCACCACCCCACAATCTCTTCCTTTCCTTAACAGCAGTGAAGATTAAACTGTGCCTTCTCCCACCACACGTGGCCTCCTCTTTCACGGATGAAGGAGCTGGCCGGTGAATCTTTAGTGAGTGGCCGGGCCGGAGACGCACGCATCCCATTTACAGAAAGGAGGTGGAGGAAGGGCTCTGCGTGTTCTTTTGGGACAAGGCATAAGCTACAAGGCTGGGCTCACTCAGCATCAGGCCAGGAGAAGAGTCACACACTGCATAGGCTGCTGGCTGCTGGGCTCTCGGTCAGAAGTCCAAAAGCAGACAGCTCAGAGCCCACAGCTCTTAGCAGAGGTCCAAAGGTCGGTCCTGATGTGCCATCAGGAGACAAAGGGGAAAAACAGACTCTCTAATCCCTGATGCCAGCAAGGAAGGAAAGCTGGGGGGTCTGTGGCCGGTGAAGTCAGTCCTCTGCAGCTGGAAGGGGGTGAGGAGGAGAGGAGATTAAGGGCGGGCCCCTGAGGAGAGGCACTGGGCTGCAAGCCTGCCTGAGAGCTGCGCACCAGGCTCCATGGGCAAGCAGGTGCGGAAGAACCAGTAGGCAAAAGGAACAAGGAGCGTGGATACCGTTCTCTCGGTCCCTCTGCCGCCTGACTCTACCTTCCCCCCAAATCTCTGTTTCTTTAAAACACTGCTCTGACCCCTGTGCCTTTCAGTCCAGGTGTTCTTCAAATGGCTTTGTGCTCAAGACCTCAACCCCTGGAACACCATGTGATGACTTCTAAATCTGCATCTCGTGTGCCATCGCCCCAACCAGTACCAAGCCCATATTTCCAACCACCTAGATTTCACAAGCTTATCGTTTTTATCATGTCTAGAATTCAACTTTTCTCTCCCTTCCCAGATTTCTCACTGTCCTCCCTTCCTAACGTCCCCATCTCCCCCGGGTACAATACTTGGTCATTCCATACTCGGCTCCCACACCCACACCTAGGACACCTCCTCAGACCCAGCACACGGTGCTCCTTGCTTTTCTGCACATTGGCTGGAAATGCCATCCTTTCCCCCAAGCTCACACCAAGTTGACATGACTTCCCCAGCCCTTTGTTCACTCGTTTATTTGGCACCTCCATGGTGTTACAACTGTGTACACGCCTATGGCACCCCGACTGGATGCTGTCCCTGTTGCGGGCAAAAGCCTTATCTTTGCATCCTCAGCATCGAGGGCATTGCCTGGCAAGCACTAAGAACAAGGTAAGTTCTCAGGACAAGTTGAAATGGAACGAAACAGATAAGCAGCAGGTTGTTAATATTCCTCTCACTGCATATCAGTTCAACTACATTATTTCATAAAGTCCGGTTTGGACCTGTTTGATAACTAGATTTCCAACGTGAATCAGCTCTGCAAATTCTGGCAGTCACATGAAGGCAGTTCCTAGAACAAAAATGATGGGGGTGGGGGGGCGGGAGCAGGAGCTAAAAGGAGGTAGGACTGAGGGTGCAAGACAAAATGAGGGGAGAGGAGGTCAGGTCCAGAAAAGCCCGAGACCGTCTCCAGCCTAAGGACAGGCATCCGCCTAGGAGAACTGGCAGAGATGGACCCTTGCAGAAATGCCTCAGAATCTAATTAAACATTTTAGATTCCACTGCACACGGGAAGGAAACCCACGTCCCCCACGGAACCCTGACAAATGAGTCATTTCCAACCAATCTATCACCATAGCATCTGGGTACCTCAGGAAGATGAAAATAAGACCAATACATAAATGAAAACCAATATACAAACAATCGTCTCCCCACACAGGCCTCCAGGAAGCCGCAGCTACAGCCATCTGCCAAGCTCCAGCCTCGTCGCTGCTTTCTGCAGCCAGAGGCCTCTGAGTAAGCACGCTTCAATATAAGATTTAACAACAGAAGGAAATTTCTTCTCTGAAGTCTGACTCTCCATTAATGCTCACTATGCTTTGAAGCTGGAATGAAATATAAGTTCGGGATAAATCGGACTTGTTCTATATGCCACATCAGCCAGAGAATTTGCTAGAAATAGTTGGGACAGATTGAAGAAAGATGGCAACTTGGCACCGGTTGAGAATTCAAAGGTTTCTGGCCTGAAGACAGCTCTCGAGGCGACCATCACTAAGCTGTGGGGAGGACACTCACATTAACCTATCGTGAGTTCTCACCTCCTGCGGCTTGCACTGGAAGTGGCCTGGAGAGATTTGATCTGATCAACCCAGGACAGCAATTCTCAGGTTAAGTCATATCCAGCATCTGGCAAAGCAGATGATATGAAATTGCAGACATTGCTGCCATGGGTTTGAACACCTGGGACTGGGTTTGGCTCTTCCACTTCTTCACTATCTCCTTTTTCCTGAGCATCTGTTAAGGCCCAAGCAGCAATATGAAAAGTCTGCTCTGGAAAGTGGCAGAGGCAGCCACCGGGGGGAGGGCCACGGCCTTCTGGGAAATCTACTTCTGGGCAAGCAACTCTTTTCATTTCAGAAGTTTACGTCCCACCTGCTTCCCCCAAAAAGATTTAGGTGGAATGGCAAATATTTATGCGGCTGACCGATGTTTCCCTCCGTCTATACATCTGTGTGGGGTGGGGAGTGATTCAGACACACGACAATGTTACACTACAAAATTTCTTAAAGCCAGAGATTTATCTTCGCAGTTCCTTCAGCTCGGATGGCCTTCAGTGTAAAACTGAGGCTCAACAGATAGTGGGTGTTGTCAATATTTTTTCTTACAGTTTTAATAAAGTCATGGCTTCTTTTGATCATGTTAACAGTATATGCTCTTAACTCTGGAAAAACTCAGTTTTAATTGAGTCTTCTCCCCAGTTCATTTTTTTTTTATCTGATCCTGGTCTAGGTCTTAATAAACACAGAAAATTCCCACCCTCTTCCGTCAGTGGGTAGAAGGGAAATCCAGCCAGAAAGGAGATACAGCCTAGGTGAAGACAAACCTGCCGCAGATTAGTTCTAAAGCATGGCTGCATGTTAGAACCACCCGGAAGTTTTTAAAAATCCAATGCTGAGGGTGGATCCCATACCAATTAAATCATGGGAGGAACTCTCTAGGGGAGGAAATCAAGCGTCAGTATTTACTAAGATCCCCTGGTGTTCCAGATTCCAATAAAGGTTAGAATCCTGGCTGTCAAGATTCATGAGACCAGTTCTTTTGAATACCTACCAAGACTATGACAATTTCTACTTTATTCCATCCCAAAATGAAAACTCTTCCTCAAAATTATCACCCATGAGTTTTCAGATGATGTAACAGAAAGAACATCAACCTAAGTCAGGAGAGGTGGTTTAAGTCAGTGCATTACAATTTAAACGGCCAGAGCCTGGAGCTGGTCACTGCCTCTGCAGGGTCTTCGTACTCTCAGCTATAAAACGGAATTATAGTCCGTGCCTTGTAGGCCACAGGCTGTTGTGGGGATCAGCAAACATCTTAAAGGGAAGCCAGAGCTCTACTATGACTACCACAAACACTAGGAATTATTGATCTGATCTGTCTATGACGGGGTGGGCATCAGCCTAGTCCAGCCCCTGCACCCTCCAAAGCAGAATCTGCCCCCCTGGGAATTCTCCCTGTGGGTTTAAGAGACAATGGGTGGTACAGAGGCCAGAGAATCAGAAACCCTTTTCCTTTTTTTTTTTAATTAAAGTTTATTGGGGTGACAATTGTTAGTAAAGTTACATAGGTTTCAGGTGTACAGTTCTATAATACATCATCTATATGTTACATTGTGTGTTCACCACCCAGAGTCAGTTCTTCTTCCATCACCATATATTTGATTCCCTTTACTCCCTTCTACCACCCCCTCCCCCTTTACCCTCTGGTAAACCACTAAACTATTGTCTGTGTCGATGCGTTTTTGAGAAACCCTTTTTCTACTGTGCAAGGCTTCAAATTCCAGGGCTGACAAACTGCAATTCTGCTCCCACTGGTGCCAAGTTTAAGAGCACTTTACTCACAGGACAGAAAATCTTATTATGCTTTCATGTAGCCCAGTGCCTAATCACAGGAAACGTCTACGTTGTTGGTCTCCCGTCAGCCCCATCAGGACTGACGCCACTCTGGTACCATTCTTAGCTACTCAAGAATCAATAGTTAGACATAGACCTCCTAGCCTGGTAATAGGGAGGCTATTATACAATGCCACCTTTGAGAGATGTGTGAAGTCTCTGCCCCTTACACAATAGTATACACCCAGGAAGACCTGTATCTGAAACTGCCGGAAGTCTCTAGGCTGAGCTTCTATTTTTCTGTCAAAACATGAACCTTTCTCTATAGAGGGTTTCCTTATATCCTAAAGTAGCAAAATTGATTCTATTTCATAGGCTGTTCTCTACAAGGTCTAGCTCTGAAAGCAAGAAACTAAAGTCTTCTTTTCCCATGATTCTTATAATTAAAAACCAAGACTACTCCAGAACTCTCTAAGGTATGTGACAGGCTTGGAGAATGACTTCTGAGAGAGTTGGAAAGGAGGAAGATTTGCTGATTTAGGTCAAGAACACAAGTACAGAAAAACAAAACAAGTGCCAAAATGTCTTCCTAGGAGTTCGACGTTTACTTGGCTAAGTTTAGGTTTAACCTCGGAAAAGCTCATTCCAGGAGTGGAAATGGGGGAGAAGGATCTTAAATACGAGACTTATAACTTTTATTCAACCCCCACATGCCCCAGTGAGACAAATACAATTAAAGGTAGCCTTTCCAATAAGATACTACATTAATTTCATTCTGAACTTTCCTGAATGAAGGGAAATAAGAGATCAGATCTCACAGATGCACCTTGGAAATCCTTCAGTCATGTACATTTTAGCTTCCTTCTGATTAGTAATTCAGTAACAATTTGATCTACACAACAGTTCTTCTTCTTTTTTTTATGTGGCATTTACAAACCAAGTTTTAAAAAGTAGTCATTAGACTTAAGGTGAGGAGCCAGAGAAAATATCAGACATGTTAAAAAATCCTAGGGGGGAAGTCACACTAATGGAGGCTGCCAGAACATCACAAATACCAACAGACGTTTCTTCTAACACCTAAGAGCAGATAATCAAAAAATACACAAATAATTTAAGATGGCATCAACCAGAAGTTAGGAGCCCTTATGAGAGCTGTTGCTTCTATTCAGGGTATGGTTTCAACACAAAATTATATTTCATGCATCCAATACCAATTACCAAGAATGAATAAGAATCTTTAAATACCTAAACTACACTAAAGCATGTACATTAAAGTTCATGTGCTTGATTCAGGAGTCTTTAGAGACCCACTCAAAATCTGCTTATTTGTACTTTACATATAATGCTAACAAGCTAGATTGAATGATTTCCTAGCTAACTGCAGGTTAGAAAAACAACAAAATAGGAAAAGTAGAGAATAAAGCAGCCTGAAGCAGGTATTCTGACAGCTAAAAGCAGTGACAGCTGACAGCCTAACAAAAAGGGGAAGAAACACTACTT